ACATGGACCTCAGCATATCCAGCCATGGACACTGACCCTGTGCTGCCCTCTTGCACCTTTTCTGTCACCAGAGGCCAAGCAAAGTTATCGAGAACAGCTTGGTGAGTTTTCCCCAAATGCTGTGGTTCCTTGCTAGCAATAATCAGCCTTGCCTCGAACGACTTCCTGAGCATCTCATGGGGAGTCTGTGGCACTCCTTACTTCAGGAGTTAGAAGGTTTAATTTTGGAGGTTATGCTTGAAGGAACTTGTCCTCTCATTTTGTCTGAGTTGGGTTTGGAAGGGGTATGTTCAAACAGGTGATGGCTCGATCAGTGACCATGGTGGAAGCAGGAAATACTGCTCTGCAGAGTCCAGGTGCACTTGAGGATGGGGTTGTGGTTAGTTGTGCATGTGCCGGGCAGGCAGTATAACTGCTGTTTGGGCTGGCTCCTGTGGTTGGTTTGGTCTTGGGCTTCCCCCCCGCCAATGCAAACATGCCACAGGAGCAATTCTGAAACGCTTTTGAGAGTCGCTGGTTGTCGTCTTAGTGCTGCAGCTGAGGGGAGCTCACAATCCTGTAGCTGTGTCATGAAGTCCATAGAGGGAAGCCTCTTCTTGAGTTCAGCCCTTTGTCCTTGGTTGAAGGTGAATTCAGTCTGACATCTGAGGTGTCTCTTGGTGCAGCCACTTAGATCTTTAATCCCCTGACCTGGCTTGTTTGCTTTAGCCTTGGTTCATGACGGTTTCTCCGAAACAACTGCTGCACCATGCAGCTCTTTACAGCAGTCTCTGGGTTGTGATGGGTGGGCTTGGGCTTCAAGCCTTTTGGAGATTCTTTATGCTTTCAAATATGAACCTGATGGTTTGTCCAGACCAGGGTAGTTCGACTCAAAACAGGCAGCGTGTTTCAGGCAGAACAGTTAATCTGAAATCTTTCTGTACATCAAGTCTCTTAGTTTAGAATAAAGATGTATTATGCCAAATTAGTATAATCTGCCCTCAGCTCACTGCACTGAATTTAAACAAATTTAGAACCGGGAATTTCTTTTCTCCTGAAAAAGTGTCCCCTCCACTTCAGAATAATTCCTTGCAGGAA